AGAATATGGCAAAGATTAATAATTTATATTAATTCTGCCATATTAGGGGGTAATTGTTGACATACAAAAAGTGTAGCCCAAATCGAGTAGCCTAAGAGATGAAACCCAGTTAGGAAGTCCAGGATGAAGGCCCAAATGGGACCATTAATGAATGCAGTGGAGGCCTCGAACACAATACCATCATCGCTCAAACTTGCAAGACGCCCAAGATCTGAGCGAGTGGAGTGCCCTAAAATCGCCCAGAGCGAACGAGCCTATCTCGCCCAAACCTTCGAATCGCCAAGATCTTAGCAAACCTGAGGTAATATGGTTATCCAGAGCAACAGTTATTGAGCAACATTATCACACCCCACGATCCAAGAATCACAATTGTATGGGGTTGAACGACGAGAGTATTGGCAACAATTAGAGAAGGTAGTTCCATGACAAGTCAGCCATCATGAAAAAAGTAGGTAGTTATATAGCAATCAAGCAATTTCCAAGCGGTTTGTCATGAATGAATTATCAAGGAAGTATAAAAAGGAAGAGAGGGCATAGAGAAAGGACCCCAAATCAAACACTTTCAAACAGAGAATATGTAATTTTAATTTCTTAGTTTAATTTTAAACACTTCTTTTAGAACTCGTGTGCTTGCGCCCCTTGGAGGCATTCTGTTCATTTCCAATCGTAAATCTTCACCAATAAAACACCACTTTTTGAGATTTTGTCTCAAGAGGTCTGTTCCTTACAGAATAGTCTGAATCTTTTTTAATTGTTAGCGACAATCCGCGCGAAACAGATTTGTATAATTTTTCACTGAAAAATGTTGAAAGTTTGGTGTCCGTTTGACTTTATTTTTCATGAAAATTGTCCATTAAAATGATAATTTTTTTACCATTGGATCTAAAATTTGTTCCAATTGTCAAAAAATTAAAAAAATTAAGAATTTTTTTTTACTATATCGAATATCATTTGTTTAGTTTTGTTTTGCATGGAAATTGTCAATAAAAGTGATAAACTTTTTTACTATTGCATCTAAATTTTTTTCTAATTGCCAAAAAAAAACATGGAAAACCATTTTCCCACCACTT